CTGAGTGCAGAAAGCAAGGAGGGAGATGGAGCAATGTGAGGCTAGAGGTAGAAAGACAGGAACTAGACTCTGTTAAGGATTTTAGTCTTGACTGTAGAAGCCATGAAAAGATGTTGAATTGTTGTAAGGAGGGAGATATTATACTGAAATTATATTTGTGTTTTTAAAAGGTCACTCTGGCTTGAAATATAGATAACAAATTGGAGAAAGACAAGAGAGGAAGAACTAGATAGAATGATTTTCAGGCCAGGCACAGTGGCACGCACTTGTAGTCCCAGCTACTTGGGAGGCTGAGACAGGCAGATCACTTGAGCTGAGGAGTTCAAGGCTTCAGTGAGCTATGATTGTGCCATTGTACTCTAGCCTGGGTGACAGAGTGAGACCTTGTCTCTAAATAAATAAATAAATATTTTTTTTTACAAAAGAATGACTTTTTATTCATTCTTAGAAAAAGTGATGTTAGATTGGTATAGGGTAACAGTAGGAATGCTGGTAGAAATTCAAGGCATATTTGTAAGGCAGAATGGACAGCATGGATATGGAAGATGAAGGCAAGGGAAGAGCCAGGGATGACTGCCAATGTTTTTGACCTGCAGAGTTGGAGTAGGACCAGGTTAGAGGAGAGATGGTTAGTTTAGTTATTAACAGGACGGATTTGAGGTATTTTTGATATATCCAAAGGGAAATGCAAGTAAAACAGGTTGGAGATCCATGAAACTCAGAGAAGTGGCCTAGACTGGAAATATAAACTTACTTGGAGATCCATCCAGCCTGAAACTCAGAGAAGTGGCCTAGACTGGAAATATAAACTTATGAGTCCTCTACACAGAGGTAGTAATTAAAGCCATGAGTTGAATGAGATTACCTACGGAAGGAGAATGAAGTCAGAACAGGAGATGGGTTAGGACTGAGCCTTGAGCAATTTCAAATTTGAAATCCAGTAGTGGAGGCTGATCAGCCCAAGAAAGTGGAGAGAGAGTAGGTGGGGAAAGTTGGCAGGAGGGCAGGACCAAGAAGCTATGGCACAGAAGCCCAGGGAGGAGAGTGTGTCAAGAAGAAGAGCCACATGGTATCCATTGGATTAAGCATTGCAGAAGCCTTAGGTAGAATTATTTTGGTAGCATGATGTGGTCTGAAAACACATAGAACTGGATTGAGGAATGAGTAGAAGGGGTGAGGACACTAAGTATAGCCAATGTGTTCAAGTAATTTGATAGTACTGGAGACAAAGATGAGACCATGTCTAGAGTGGGATGAAGGGTGAAGTGAGGGCTCTTAAGTTTTAATGGGAGAGACTTGAATGTACTTAAGAGGCTAATGGGATTAATGCAGATGGGGCAAAAGTTGAATCTGGAGGAGAGTAAAGGGATAATTGTTAGAGTCAGGAGGAAGGGAAAGGGCCAAGGCAGTGTGGTATGGGTGAAAGAATAGTCAAATAGAGCAATGGAATATGGTAGTAATCCCAGAAATAGACCCATGCAAGTATAGTCAACTGATCTTTGACAAAGGCGCAAAGGCAATACGATAGAGCGAAGATAGTCTTTTCAACAAATGGTGCTGGAACAACTGTACGTGCACATGCAAAGAAAAAAGGAAGACTCTAGATACAGACCTTATGCCCTTCACAGAAATTAGCTCAAAATTGATCACAGACCTAAATGTAAAATGCAAAGCTATAAAACTAGAAGATAACATAAAATAAAACCTAGATGATATTGTATATGGCAATGGTTTTTTAAGATACAACACCAAAAGCATGATTAGTAAAAGAAACAATTGATAAGTTGGACTTCATTAAAATTAAAAACTTATGCTCTCGGAAAGACACTGTCAAGAGAATGAAAAGACAAGCCACAGACTGGGAGAAAATATTTGCAAAAGACATCTGGTAAAGAACTGCTATCCAAAATATACAAAGAACTCTTAAAACTCAGAAGAAAATGAACAATCCAATTAAAAAATGGGCAAAAGACCTGAACAGAAACCTCAATGAAGAAGATATACAGATGGGAAGTAAGCATTTGAAAAGATGTTCAACATCATAAGATATGAGGGAATTGCAAATTAAAACAACAATGGGATACCACTACATGCCTATTTGAGTGGCCAAAATCCAACACACTTACGACACCAAATGCTGTGGAGGATGTGGAATGGGAATTCTTATTCATTGCTGGTGGGAATGCAAAATGGTACAGCCTCTTTGGAAGGCAGTTTGGCAGTTTCTTACAAATCTAAACATACTCTCACCGTATGATCCAGCAATTGTGCTCCTTGATATTTACTCGAATTAAAAACTTATGTCCACATCAAAATTTGCACATGGACATTTATAGCAGCTTTATTCATAATTGCCCAAACTTGGAAACAACCAAAGTATCCTTCAGTTCAGTAGGTGAGCAGATAAACAAACTGTGGTACATTCAGACAATGGAATATTATCCAGTGTTAAAAAAGAAATGAGCTATTAAGTCATGAAAATGCATAGAGGAAACATAGAGGAAAATGCATATTACTAACTGAAAGAAGCCAATCTGCAAACGCTACATACTGCATGATTCCAACTCTTTGACATTCTGGAAAAGGCAAAGCTATGGAGACAGTAGAAGAGTCGTGATTGCCAATGTGAGGAGGGAGGGATGAATAAGCAGAGCACAGAGGATTTTTAGGACAGTGAAACTATTCTGTATGACACTGTAATGGTGGATACATGCCAGTATATATTTGTCAAAACCCATAAATGTGCAACACCAAGAAAGCACCCTAAGGTAAACTATGGACTTTGGGGGATAATGATGTGTCATTTTAGGCTCACTGATTGTAATAAATATACCATCCTGGTGGGGGATATTGATAGTAGGGGAGGCCATGTGTGTAGGGACAGGGATTTGTGGGATCTCTCTGTACTTCCTACTCAATTTTGCTGTGAACCTAAGACTGCTCTAAAAAAATGTATCAATTTTTTTTAAAGTAGCTCACAATGTGGAAAAATGGAGATGTATCCCTACTCCATCATATTAAAATATAAACTTCAAAAGGATTAAAGACCAGATGTGAAAAGTAATTTATAAAGCTAACAGAAGAAAATATTAGAAAAAACCTATGCTATCTCAGTTTTTATAGGCAAGATCACAAAGTACAAGACACAGAAGAGAAGCTGATGAATTTGACTAGATGAAAGTTATTTCTGTTAAATAAGAATTCCAAAGATAAGATTAACCTCTGGGTGACAGAAAGGAGAAGTTATTTGTAAAGATACAGTATTCACATCTAGAAAAATCTTAAACAACAGCAAGAAAAAGACAAGAAAATTCACTGGCAAAGATTCTGAGTCGGCAATTTACAGAAGGGGAAACCTGATAAATTTATGAAAAGATGCTAAAATTTCCTAATATTAAATTAAAATAATAAGATACTACTTTATAACCATCAGATTGGAAACAGAAAGTCCAGTAATAAGAAGTACTGGTGAGGATATGGGGAAATTGAGAACACTTGTGCATAGCTGATAGAATAAAAGGTATAGCCATTCTGCAGAGCAATCCACAGTGCTTAGTGAAATTAATGACTATACCCACAATCCAGCAATCCCCCTACATAGTTTATATTGCTGAGAAACTCTGATCACAAGTACAATAGCATGAGGTTCTTCATTGCAGCAACGTTTGTGGAGACAAAGAGCTGGAAGTCAGCTAAGTGCCCTTCCCTGGAAGAGTACATAAGTAAAACATGGTCCATGCCTGCAATGGGATACCAGGCAATAGTCACACAAAATGAATCACATTCACATACAGTAACACTGACATAGCTCAAAAGCATAATGTTGAATGAAAAAAGCATTAAAAAACAAAACAATTCTATATAATTTCAAGGTAATACACACACTTAAAAGGATATATATTAAATACTTAGGAGTAAATGCTAAAAAAAGGAAGAAAATAGAAGTAGGATCAAAATTACTTCTAACTACTAAACAGTAGGATCTGTTTAGTAGGAGCTAAACAGAAAATAATAGGAGATTGCCTTTGCTTTGTCCAGTGATGGAACAAGTGTGAGTAACTTAATTCTTTTTGCCGCCTGTCCTAAAAAAAAAAAAAAAAAAGAAAATTTTAAAAGCAAAATAAATACAATACGGTTATAATAATCTCATAAGATTGTATTTTAAGAGTAAATGAGTAATTCAAATAAAGCATCTAGTGTAGTACCTAGCACATACTAAACACTTAAGAAATGTGACCTATTAATGCTATTAATATGACTCATGACATAGCTACTTCCAACTAATTAGAGTTGGCACTTAAAACCAATTGGACTTAGGTGATTTCCCCTAAAAGATCCTTTCAGGTCTAATATACTACATAGTTCTACTAGAGGGATAGGCAAGTATCACAGCAGACCCAGTAGCAAGCAGACAGAAGAGCTGAAACAGCCTTGGAAATGGGAAAGGCTACCATCTTGTTTGTAGTGTCATGGGAAACCATGATGTTATTAACTTGGGAGAATACTGACTAGTGAATATAACTCACAAATTAAGGAAGTGAGGACTACACAAGTAAAAAGCGCTATGCACTTTGCTTTACTGCCTCCAAAAGGGTGTTTTAACATTTTTAATTTTAAGTAGCTGATTTACAAAGTCTACCTACATTTGCTTTGGATTATCCCTACCCAATTTTTCTCCTCCTCTCTTGACATGGGACACAGGTTATACCAGTGAAATGAGCAAGATTGTCACCTAGTGGTTGGTTCCTCAAAGTGCTGACATGAGATTGGTCCCAGAGAAGGTAGATGTGTCTAATCATTGTCCTCATATTATGTTAGTTCAACAAATGTTGACTGGGACCCCATGCCAAGCACTATTCTGGTGCCTGGGGATATACAGTTGCTAATACAAAATGACAGGTTTAAAAATAAAATTGAGCAAGTTTCAATTCAGAACCTTAGGGGCTCTCCCAAAGGGACGTTGCATTTTCATGTGTTTATTTTCCACTGGTTTTCCGTAGATCATAGATGAAGAAGAAACACAGTTTATGAGCAACTGCCCTGTTGCCGTCACCGAAAGCACACCACGGAGGAGAACGCGAATCCAGGTGTTTTGGATAGCGCCGCCAGCAGGAACGGGCTGTGTGATTCTAAAGTAAGTAAGCATGGAATCCTCCTGGCACTTCATGCTCCTTCCCTGAAGTTTACCAAAGACTTTGTGGTGTGGTTGCAGAAAGAAAAGTGGCTTTACTGGGCATCAGACAAATTGCATCATCTCTCTGCCCTCCCCTATCTCAATTCTAAAAGAGCACCATGGGCCACCCATTGGTAAAGTGTTTCATAAAGAACCATTTGCCTGAATCTCTGTTTCCATGGAATAGAATGATTCTCCTGGCCTCTCTCTACCTTAAGGAGGCAATGATACTAGGTCTGGTTAAGAAAAATTATAAACTAGGTGAAAATAATCTTTGACTTTCTCTGTGTGAAACTTAACTTTTTCTTTTCTCAGAATACATAACACCTAAAATCCTTAAACTGGGGTTAGGCTGACCTGATACCCAAATGTAACCTCCATTAGCCCCAAGCTCAGCCTTCTGATCCTATCTCCTTCCTTGCCCATCAAAATTGCCCTCGGGTGCCACTTCCTGTCTGGCCTCCTTATTCTCCTTTTGGTGAGTTACAATAGATAATAAGAGGTATTAACAGGCCAAAAAATTTTCCTCTGAAAGGTAGCATTGCCTCAAACCTGTGTCTCCAAAAACTCTGTGCCACAGAATGATGTCCTGGGAAATGTAAGCACATAGGCAGGAAAACAGTCTCTGTGGTTCAATATTTGCATACTGCAACCCCTTCTTGCAGATTCCCAACACACATTAGCATAATGAAGGTTTTGCAAAGTCCTGGTAAAAAAGAAATCTGTTTAATTTGGTTTCACTCAGCATTTGCCAAATTTATTTAACTGTAAATCTCCTTGTTTTCTTTTCTTGTGTGTGTGTGTGTGTGTGTGTGTGTGCGTATTCGTGTGTGTCTATTAACATTCACCAATTTGGGAAACACGGTAACAATCTATTTTAAATAAATTTAAAGTCCTTATGGAATGACGCTGGGAATTTAGGATTTCAGCCAGGCAAATAGTCACAGGTAGATGGACAGGGCTCCAATCCTAGCATCCGAGAAGTCATTTTTCTATGGAGGAAGGGGCTGGGACCTTCCCAACAATCTTCGTTTTCTTTAAATTCCCTAAAGTCTTATTTATGTATTTGGTTCATTTGTCAATTGTGAACATTTCAACAGACTTTATAGCTGTGGTTAACTTCAGCCCACCCCTGAGAAGATGCTGATGATAGCAAGCCTCCCACCTAGGCATTCGGGTCCCCACAGTTCCTAGACTTCCTCTGTGCCTGGATTATGGAAAAAGTCTCACAGAGTCTCTGGAAGCATCTGTCCATTGTCCCAACTCAGCCCTGTCTTTGTCTGGCCTCCCTCTGCTGCCATCTGTCTGGACGTCGTTTGTTTATTTCTTAGCTTAATGCAGGCTGAGCATCCTTCCCTCGATTCCTTGGGAAGTTTGGCTCTTGGCATTAATCTACATTGTGGTCATTAATAAAACAAGTTGTAATGAAATCTTATCATCTATACACATTGATATATGACATGTATCTAGCATCTAGTTGGAATGTGGGAGGCCTTGTGGAAACGAATGAAGACCAATCAAATGAGAACAGAGGCTATATGTTCAAGCTTGCTGTGTAGCGAGGGAGTCAGCCACGATCACTAGCATTTGGCAGAGTCTCGAAGGCAGGCAGAAGAGTGGGAAAGCCTTACAGCAAAAAAGAGGGAAGACTTCAGGTCTGCTCTGATTGGAGGCTCTTGGTATGGGGAAGCTGGAGGCAGACTAACTACAAGTGGAGCATCTTATGTGACTGGTCTACAGAGCAAATTTGGCTTTCTCTGGTTGGTTCTGGGTTGAAGTGGGGGCAGGCAGCAAAAAATAGAGCAGTTGGCAGACATTGACTAAATCCTGATGTTCTGGGCTGGTTGCTGGGGCCCAGAGGCTGTGGGTCAGAGTGCTAGTGTCATTTCCATATGTGGTCTGGCCACTGTCTGTTAGGATATTTAGTCTCTCAGCCTACAGACTGGGTTCCCAGCTTGGCTCTTGGTACCCACACCCCTATCCATGGCAGCCCAAGTACTCCACAGAGCCTGGGGCTCCAAAGAAGATGGTTGGAAAATGTCAGATCTACATGATGGGTCTTCCTGCTTTAAAAGGCTTCATCCCTCTGGCCCAGATCTCTGGTTTTCTTTGATTGTTATTCTTACAACCCAGAAGCATTTGATCTTTCTGGTGGAAGCCAGAAAGGCATCTCTTGTTTACCCATTAACAATCAACATATGTGAACATATGTTTATCCATTAACAATTAACATGTGTGGCTTGTTCATTCACTCATTCTTTCAATGTCACTGAGCCTCTATGTGCCCAGGAATGCAGGATGTACAGACCACCAAGGTATGTTCTTGGCCCTGGAGGTTCTTACAGGTCAAATGGGGGCGCAAGAAAGGGTCATCTAATACTTTCTCTATACCAGGAACTCAGCGCACATCTAGCAGGCTCTGTCTAATTTGATCTTCGAGGAAACTACCCCCATTTTACAGAGGAGGAACAGGCCCCAGGGAAATTAGGCAAGTTTCTTAAAGTCACATACCCATTTAACTCTAAAGTCCATGTTCTTCCTTTCTTATATTTGTTTTTTTCAGAAAGAATAATATATAAGCTATCATTAAATAATTTTGTAAGACACAAACACATTTACATTGTAAAATTTCAAATACAAAAGGTAGCAAAATACAGAAAAATACAGAATACAGAAGACGTATAAAATCCATGACATCTCCCCAATAAATCCCAGAGTTTCCTACACAAAGGTAGAAATAGATACCGATTTGGTGTGTGGGTTTTAGACTTTTATCTGTGAGTTTATAGTCATAAAGGAAAACGTAAAAGTACATAGTTTCATTTTTGTGGGAATTTGAGTTTACACAAATGGTATCATATTGTATTACATGTAATGTCCTGAACTTGAATGCTTTCTCACTAAATAAGATGTATTAGAGATATGTCTAGGTCAGTACACATAGACCTACCTTTTTTTTAACTGTTGCATATAATCTGTGGTATGGATGTTAATTATTTCACAGCTGATGGACATTTAGATTGTTTCCAGTATTTTACTATTGCAAATAATGTTATGATGAACATCCTGGTGCCTGCCTCTTTGAGCAAATATGCAAGTTTTTATCCACAGTTGATGCCAAGAAATGGGATCATAAGGGATGCACATTTATAATTTTAATAGACACTGCCAGATTTTCCTCCAAGAAGCTTGCCAACTTAAACACTCTCCCTGACTGTGAACAAGAGAGCCTAAATCCTTACTTGCTCAACGGCCCTTGATGTTATCAATCTTTAAGATTCTGCCAGTCCTCACTTTAATTTTCCTACACCCAAGGTTATAAATATATTCCCATATTTTGTATATTTTTATAGATTTTTAAATCAATTTAGGTCTTTAATCTTCCTGAAATTTAATGTTGTGAAGGAGATGGTATCAATAAGCCTCAACCGAAAATAGATGATGTGCTCAAAATGAAGTGCCAAAGGAAAACAACAGTGGAGGACGCCTGTACCACCTAGGCCTGAAGAGGCAACAGGAGGGGGGGATGGGTGGAGGGGACCTGCCACCTACAGGAGCTGAGGCCTTTGGTTAAGGGAAGCAACTAGCCTGGAGGACCCCAGCCAATCCCCTTCCCCTGATCCCCTGTGGGCCTCCTCTTTGGCTTGTCTCCAATCATGAGGACAGTGGAGCCCACTGATATATCCATACAGATTATTCTCTCAGGCATAGACTAGGGGACAACAGAGTGGAGCAGGCATCTACCTGGAAGAGCAAACCACAGATCTCCAGCACAGATGGGAAAGTGAAATCTACCTATTTTTCCCCAAACGGATAATTATAGTTATCCCACATCCATTTGTTGAATAGTTTATCTTTTCCCCAATATGTTGGGATGCCTCTTCATCAAATACAAAATTGTTCTACAGGTCTGTTCTCTTTGGTTGTTCTTTTTATCTATTCCTCCATGAAACCCACACCATTTCATAGCATTATTTTACGTTTTGATAGCAAGTCATTGCTCATTAATCTTCTAGTTCAAAATGTTCATGGTCACTTGAGCAGATTCATAATTCCAGGTGAACTACAGAATAAGTTTGTTGTATTCGATAAAAAATTATGTTGAGATTTTGAATGGTGTTGCACTGAATTAATAGTTTAACATGGGAAAAATCAATATTCCTAATAATAGTCTTCCCAGTCAGAAACATGGAATGTCCCCTATTTATTCAGGTCTTTTACATTCTTCATAAAGTTTTGCAATTTTTCTTCACTTAGATTATACATGCTTGTGAGGATTTTTTTCCATAGATAATTTATAGTGTTTATAGTTTTATTGCTTTTATAAATGGGATCTTTGTTCCTATTATACTTACAATCATTGTTTATGTTTAGAAAAGTTACTGATTTTTTTACCTTCAGTTTGAATCTGACACTGCTAAACTCTCTTGGTAGTTCTAAAGGCTTGTTTTTTCATTCTTTTGGGATCATCAATGTAAATTATCGTATCTAAAAATAATGAATATGTATGCCTTTTATTTCTTTTTCATATTTTAGCTTATTTAGCACCTCTAGTGAAATATTAGATAGTAGTAGTCATGCTTATTCTTGATTTGAATGGGAATACTATTATATTTCACTTTTAAGTATAATATTAATATGTAGTTGTGCAAGGTTTCAAATCAATGCCTTTAATCAAGGTGAAGAAGACCCTTTATTTAGCCAAGAAAGTTTCCTTCTTTTTCATGTCGAAGGGTGGTATTTGGGAAATCAACTAATCAATAATCCATGTGTACCTACCATGTGCCCAGAGTATACCAGGCACTGAGAAAGACTCGAGGTATAAACAATGATTCTGGCTTTCAAAACACATTCGGTCTAGTTGTGGCATAAATAAAAATATGTATGCAAAGTTAGCAGCCCCCAGACAGACATGAATGGGGGACAAATTAAACATGGTGAAAGTTCAGAGAAGAGATGAG